TACAACCCCAGTTCTGACTGCTTTGGCAGGTGCCCAGCCCCAGCTGTCTATAGGCAAAATCCTCCCTCTGTAGCCATAGCCAGGGCTCTGGATATGTTGGCAGAGGCACTGCTCCAGGTACCCACAGCTCCAGACAAAGTCTCTGCTTCATGGCCCAGCCATAAAAAGACAGCAGACCTTCTCTGGGTCTGCTAGCTGATATCCTGGGTGGGCTAGACACTAACCATGTACAAGTTGCTAACTATGTAGTAGTCTAGTAACACTGCACAGTAGCATGCTGGGCAAAACCCATGCTAATATGCTATTGTGCAGTAATATTAGGCTACTTCTCAATTAGTGTCTGAAAAAAACCCATGCACTGGTGCTACTGCGCAGTAATATGAGTTACTGTGCGTTGATTTAGTACTTGGTTATTAAAGCACATAATGAATGTGTAGACTACCCCCTGAGTACTGGAGGGGCATTTGGTGGAGGGTTCTCTTGGGCCACCAGCTCATCAGTCCTGACCTGTACCTTTAGCTGCTGTCACCTGTAGGCATGAAGAATGGGGAACCTGAAAAGCATGCTGAGATGTGTGCTTTGGGTCCCTCTGGCTGGGTGCTTTTTGTGTTGCAGGTTGTTTGCAGAGCCTGCAGACAACTCTTTGAATGCTTATATACAAGTTTCAGCCCATTTGAATTTCAGTCTTAAGTTGTTGAACTTCAGCTGGTTAAATTAAATGCTTGTACACATCCCAAGTATGTGACCTTGCACTTTGTATTATTGAATATTGTCCCATTTCTATGTATCCAGTCTTCAAGATCACCTTACAATTCTTCTCTTAATTCCCTGTAGTCCATCTTCTCTATCTTAACTGTTAGCTTGCCAAGTCACACTGTATCAAATATGTTACTGAAGTCTAGATAGATGAAATCTATGTCTAGAAAATCTGTTATCTATTTTGAAGGAAAGCTATCAGGTTAGTCTGGTAACGCTTGTTGCTTTTTATCTCTTTTTCACTTTATCTCTTTGCCTTTAATTATTTTTTTTCTCCAATATCTGTTTGAAAATCTTGCATATCATTGGGGTAAAATACCTATGTAATTACCTTGAACACATTTTTCCTTTTCTTAAATATATATATTAGATTACCTGTTTTCCAATTATATGGCACCACCCTTGAGGTGATGCACATATTACAAATGTCTCCTGTACTTCATAGAATCATAGAAAATTAGGATTAGAAGGGACCTCAAGAGGTCATCTAGTCCAACCCCATGGTCAAAGCAGGACTATCCATCCCCAATTAGATCATCCCAGTCAAGGCTTTGTCTAGTCATATCTTAAAAACCTCCAAGGATGAAGATTCCACAGCCTCTCTGGGTAGCCTTTTCCAGTGCTTTACAACCCACCTGGTGAGAGAGCTTTTCCTACTATCTAACCCAAACTTACCTTGCTGCAACTTGAGACCATTGCTCCTGTTCTGTCATCTGCCACCACTGAGGACAGTCTAGCTTTGGTTTGGAGAGAGTTTTGGTGAGCTACTGAGCCCCAGATCAGCACCCCACCAAGCCAGGGTGGGCCAGGCCAGGTCAGCATTCCATTGTCCCCACCTGCAACAACTCACCAAAACTCCATAAGTGGTAGATTACTAAACTGGTCTGGCATTAGTCTAGTAATATGGGTCTGTCAGTGGCCATGACACTGGCTGTGGCGGCTGCTGGAAGGAGCTGCCACCCTCCCCAGAGCTGCTGGGAAGCAAAGTCTGGCCACTACCACCCTAGCCCTGCCACATGCCTGGGGGTGACAGGACCAGCTGCACACGCCATGGCCTGGGCTACCCCCTGCATGTGGGCTGGACAGGGCCAAGGGATGTGCAGCAGGTTGGATGAAATCTGGTGGGCCAGATCTGACCCACCAGCCATAATTTGCCCACCCCAGTCTAGCTCCATCCTCTTTGTAACCATCCTTCAGGTAGGTGAAGGCTTTTATTAATTCACCCTCAATTTTCTCTCCTGCAGACTAAATAAGCTAAGTTCCCCTAGCCTCTCCTTGTAAATCATGTACTCTAGTCCTCTAACCATTGCCCTCTGCTGGACTCTGTCCAATTGGTCCACATCCTGTCCATAGTGGGGGGCCCAAAACTGGACAAACTACACCAGACAGGGCCTCACCAGTGCAGAATAGGGGGGAAGTTTGTAAATGTGTATTACCAAGTCTGCAGCTTCTTGTGACAATTCTTTTAGAATTCTTAAAGAGAGGTAATCTATTCATCACCAATCTGTGATTCTCACTTTCATTCTCATTAGATGTTTTGCTTTTACTCTCATGCCTCATATAATTGTCTTTTCTGAAAACTGAGGCCAAATACTCATTTAGTATTTGAGCCATACCTAAATTATCTAAAATCTCCTTATATTCTCACTGTATAGTGGCTCTGCCTCTTCCTTCCTCATTCTATTTTTATATTCATATATCTGAAGAACCTTTCACTAATTTGGATAACTCTCACATTATTCTGATACTTCTTGTTTTCCAAGATGTAATTTTTCTTTCCATTCCTTGTGAGCTCTCTGTTTATTCTTTATATATTATAGATATGATAATGTTATAATAGTAATACACAATTGTAAAATTGCATATTATTAATATTTAGTTATAATGTTATACTATTAGTTCCTGTAATATATCATATATTATATATAACCACTTCAAAATAGGGATAGGGTAGGATTCAATTACAAAACTTCATCAGAAGCTACTGTAATTAAGCTACATTTAATATTAAATACCAACTAGATTGTGTCATTTTGGGCCATTAATTGTCCATTAAGGCCAGTAAAAACACACACAGAGTAAATTCTCACTTTGCTTAAATGGTTATAATTTCTTTTGTCATCAGCTAGTGCATAATGTCATAGCTGTGTTGAAGTCAATAAAACTATACTAGTAAAGGATCTTCACTTGAACAGGTGTTAAAAGAGGGCCTATAACAGCAGAATACCATGAATGATATTCTAAGGACACCAGTGTGTAATTTCTTAGAAATCATCCAGTTGCATACTGTGAAAACCACTTTTGTAATATTGTAGTACTATAAAGTTGGAAAGAGCCAGGCATTCTAATAGAGTTAAAACTGAATTATAAGCATGCAATTTAAGTAATTTGTTTAATGTTAAACTAAATTCAGTGAGAAGAGAATCAGTTCTTCGTCCATGCTCCATTTTTAATGGGAAGTTTTGCATAATTTCCTCCTATGATTATATTTTAAAGAAAAAAAAAGATAAAGTACTGAGTTAGATTTTATGAATAGCTATTTTGGAGTGGATTCATTGCAGATATGTAGGTAAATATACAAATGTGCACAAAAATAGAATTAGCAATTAACCACTTTCTAATTAAATGCATTTTTAATTTAGGTCTTCACTGGGATCTTCACAGCAGAAATGTTTCTCAAGATAGTTGCTATGGACCCTTATTATTATTTCCAAGAAGGCTGGAATATTTTTGATGGGTTTATTGTAACCCTTAGTTTGATTGAACTTGGTCTTGCAAATGTGGAAGGACTGTCCGTTCTTCGATCATTCAGATTGGTAAATACATGGCTAAAATATTACATTTTACAATATGTTCTTGTAACACTAATTTTATTTCAGTTTTATGCTTGTGTTTTAGCAAGATAAATATTACTTGATGGGGAGTAGTCAACACAGTTTTGTTAAAGGGAAATCATGCTTTACCATCCTACTACAGTTCTTTGAGGGTGTCAATAAGCAGGTGGACTGGGGTGTTCCAGTTGACATAGTATTCTTGGACATCATTTGATAAGGTTCCCCATTAGAGGCTCTTAATTAAATTAGGAGTCATGGGATTACAGGGAATGTCTACTCATGGATTAGAAATTGGCTCCAGTATAAAAAGCAGAGAATGAGTATAAATGGTCAATTTTCAGGATAGAAAAAAGTAAACAGCAGGGTCCTCCTGAGATCTATGCTGGGACCAGTGCTGTTTGACATAAATGATCTGGAAAAAGGGATGAGTAGCAAGGTGGCCAAATTTGCAAATGACACAAAATTACTCAAAGGGGTCACAAAATAAAACTAGTAGGTAGTAGGGGTGTGCAATGCGGGCCCTGTTCAATTCAGATTCGGCCTGAATCGGGGACAGTGATTTGATTCCTTGATTCAGATCACTGTCCCTGATTCGATTTGGCTGAATCCAAATCTGAAGATTCGATGTTGATTCGGAGAATCAGTGATTCAGACATAGACACAGCTTTAAATGTTTTCTCTAAGTACATCATGGTACCAGGCACAGCTCGTGAATACTGCAGTGCTGGGGCAAATGGAGTGTCCCACAGGAGTGCAGCCCCCCCCCCCCACCGCATGCTTGGCAGTGAACCCAGGAGGGGACTGGAAGTACTTCCAGTTCACTTCTGGGTCCACCAGGGAGCACACAGGGCGTCCCCCTGGGCTCCCCCTGGCTCAGTGATCACCACCACCCAGACCCAGAAAGCACCAGTCACAAAGCTGGGGGGGTGGGTGGCAGCATGCTCTCTAGCAGACCTGGCAGTGGACTGAAAGTGCTTCTGGTGCAGTTCCAGGTCTGCTGCCGAGTGCACTGGGGATCCCCCTGCACTTCTGTGGGATGCTCCATGTGCCCCAGCATCACAGCACTCGCAAGCCTCTGCTACCTAGAGGTATATAGATAAGATATTTAAAGTTGTCTCTATGTCCGAATCACTGAATCTTTCCAAATCTCTCCGAATCTCTCCAAATTGATTCAGAGGGTTCTGATTTGATTCAGAGAGATTAAAGGGTCCTCTTATTCAATTTGGATTTGGAGATTCAGCCACCAAATCGGGCTGAATCTCCACTGAAGTGAATCAGGGATCAATGCTTCACACAGCCCTAGTAGGTAGTAAGCCTGAAACTAACAAAAGGAAGTTCTTTTTCACACACAGTGTAATGAAAGTGTGGAGCTCATTGCCATCAGATGTGGTAAAAGCTGACAGTTTAACTAGATACAAAAAAGGACTGGAAAATTCTTAGGGGTGAATGGAGTGTCCCACAGGAGTGCAGCCCCCCATCATGCTCAGTGGTGAACCCAGGAGGGGACTGGATGAAATTCTTAGATGAAAGGGGCATCAGTAGTGATTGAGCATGAGACTTAGGCATACAGCCTCTGAATCAGAATTTCCTAGACTTTAAATGCTGGAGGCTGCAAGTGAGAAAGGAACAGTGGAAAAAACCCTGGTCATTTCCAGTTTACTCTCCCTTTCAGCATCCATTCTCTGCCACTGTGTGACTTTTTTGCACCAATATATTTTCACAAATTAATTTTAAAACATCTTGTGCTTTCAATAAAATTAGTACTCACAATGCTTTTCTACTCTTTTTTTTTCAGTTACGAGTTTTCAAACTGGCAAAATCTTGGCCAACACTAAATATGTTGATAAAGATCATTGGTAACTCAGTAGGAGCCTTGGGGAATTTGACCTTGGTGCTCGCCATCATTGTCTTCATTTTTGCTGTGGTTGGTATGCAGCTGTTTGGTAAAAACTACAAGGAATGTGTCTGCAAAATCGCAAGTGACTGTGTACTTCCACGCTGGCACATGCAAGACTTCTTCCACTCTTTTTTGATTGTGTTTCGGGTTCTGTGTGGAGAATGGATAGAGACCATGTGGGACTGTATGGAAGTTGCAGGCCAAGCTATGTGCCTTACTGTCTTCATGATGGTCATGGTGATTGGAAACTTAGTGGTATGTAATTAAAAAAATCAAAGATTATTCTGTAAAAAATGGGGGCTCGGTCTTGAAATGTGCTAAGCACTCTGGCTCCTGTTCAACAAAGCACTTAAGCAAGAGACTTTAGTCAAGCTACTCAAGCGATTGAAGTTCATCTTAAGAGCTTTCTTGGACTGAGGTCAGAATATTCTGCACCATGCAGGATCAAATTCCTGCTTTATAAAAAGGGAATAAGCACTTAGCCACGTTCTACATGTTTGATCTTGATTACTTGAAAATACTTAGTGTTTCAAATAATTTTAAACCTGTTGGGTCTTCATAAACCATTTGCTCTGAATTTTTAATTATATATGGTCACCTATCACATCTGCTATAATTTGTGATCTCTGATGGGATAAGTGAAACTTCTTTAAACAGTGTGGTGGTAATAAATAACAAATTCTTTGTCTGAATTGTTAAATAAATAATCTTTTATGCCAATATTCACAAATTAAAGTTCATTTTCACATAGTTGGCAGTTGACAGTAAATAAGCCCCTAAAAAGCATAGCAAACTATATTTAGCTCTTTCATTTATCATATTTATGAATGAGTTCTTTATTATGTGGTTTGCTCTTCTTCAAATTATCATTACTTAAAACATACTTTCTCTCCAGAGCAATTTTAGTAAACACATTTATTAATGATCTATTCCTCCATTATTTAATTTTTTGTAGGGCCGGGGCAGTGGTGAGGGAGAGGTGTGAAAACCTGAGCCTTTATTCTTAATGCTTCACATAGCGCAAAGTATTATAACAGTAAAATATTTCCACTGAGGTAAATTTAGGGTTTATTTTCTATCTTCCCTTACAGGTATTGAACCTATTTTTGGCCTTGCTGTTGAGTTCATTTAGTGCAGATAACCTTGCTGCCACAGATGATGATAATGAAATGAATAATCTCCAGATTGCTGTAGCAAGAATGCAGAAGGGAGTAGATTATGTGAAAAGAAAAGTCCATGAATTCATCCAAAAATCTTTTGTTAAAAAACAAAAAGCTTTAGAAGAAATCAAACCACTTGAAGATTTAAACAACAAGAAGAACAGCTGCATTTCTAACCACATGACAGCAGAAATAAGCAAAGACCATGATTATCTTAGAGATGGGAATGGAACCACGAGTGGCATAGGCACAGGCAGCAGTGTGGAAAAATACATCATTGATGAAAGTGATTACATGTCGTTCATAAACAACCCAAGTCTCACTGTGACGGTACCCATTGCTGTCGGGGAGTCGGATTTTGAAAATTTAAATACAGAAGAGTTTAGCAGTGAAGATCAGTCAGATCTGGAAGAAAGCAAAGAGGTATTTAAATGTTTCCTATCCACTTAATTTTTTTTTAATTTGATAATTGTTCTGATTTTTTCAGCATAAATTAGTAGGTTTACTAATGAGGTATTGATAGTGACCTGCATATGGAAAAAAGTAAGGGAAAATAAGTAATATGTAATGAATAACAATAAAGATATGGTTTAGGAACCTAATAAGAGACTCAAAGGGGACATACAATAAAAAGGGATGAAAACTTTCATCTCCATATAGGCCTGAATTGGCTTAGAGGTTGGGGCCAAAAAAGAGGATGGCCGGAGTAGTTTTATAAAACGTTTCCTCCTTCCTTATCCTGAGATGGTTAGGAACTGCTTCAGCTCCCCAACAGGCTAATGTTTTCCACAAGCTATTGGTGCTTTTAAGAGCTCATTGCAGAAACTAGTGACAGATAAGCACAGCAATACACAATCACACTCCTCCTTTTTTCAGGACACCCTGAACATGTCTTCCGCATTGGGAATCGTACTAGATATATCATGAATTGGATCTTTGTCACTCAGGAAAGCCCTTGCTTCATGGGAGTTTCCCAGGAGCTGCAATGCAGGGATGAACAGGGCCTAGAAAATACGTTATATCTAGAGTGGGGTAGGTGTATGAGGAGCAAGTGTACTTTGTCTTTTAGATAAAAGGATTTTTTAGCTACTGGAATCATCAGCTTTTCTAGATCAAGATTCCAATGAAAAGATATTTAATGTTGGGCTAGTTGTATACTACAAAGCTGTTTAGTTATAACTGAGGACTCATGTTAATAGAATAGAACATTGCCATAGGACATCTGTTGCTAGATCAGTGCTTCTCAACATTTTCAGTCACAGCACCCCTCCACTACTTTTTTTAATATGGCAGCATCCCCAGTAGAGAACCACTGTTGGTTCTATTTCAATGGGGTGCTGCTGCCTCCAGGTAAAATTTCCTGTGCACCTGCTGCACATTCAGACCAGAAAGGACTGTGGCATGTGCACAATCTTCCTGCATTAGGGCTGTCTGATAATATGCCTGGACATATTGGTATCAATTGGAGTTTTGTCATTGGCTTGAATGGTGTACAGATTTTGCCCATGACTTTTATCAAAGGGTGACCACAGTCAAGGATCAGCTTCTGAGCTATAAGCAAGCCACAGATTCAGCCACACTTTGTTGACCTAAAAATATCTGAAGTTAATTTGTAAGTGATCTAACAGTATGTTTGTCATCACACAAGTGACTGTAGTATGAAGATGGCACATATTAACCTAAAACTAGCTATCTGGCGATCAGTAGAAAGCCATCTTCTTGATCTGGTAAATTAACTGTGCTAAGCTCTGCCATTGCTGGATGGCTACCTGTACCTGATTCAGCTAGTTTAATGCTAACTTGGCAACCTTAAGACTTTCCCACAAGATTTGAAAGCTAGGCTTCGACCACAACCCTACTCCTTTATGCTAAAAAGAGCATTAGAGCAGCACTATTGCAATCCCCTGTACTGATAGCAATGCTTTCCTCATTTACAAATCAATACCTGTGGCATTAACAGCCATCCTACTATTGAATTATGGTCAACTCTTAAAAGTTTCCTGATGTAAGAAATACACCAGGTCCAGAACATTTACCACAAGGAAGGTTTTGAGATGGTCCATGAACATTTAAAAGGTCTGATCATCTATCATGCCTATCTTTAAAAGAAGGGAGGAGAAGGAGACCTGGGGAATAATAAACTGATCAGTCTGACTTCAAACCTGGAAAGTTATTGTAAAAAAACCTGTAAAGCAATTAATCTGTAAACACCTGGAGAAAAAGGGCGTAACCATTGGCATCCAAATAGATATGTTAAGGATATCAAATCAACTAAGTACCCTTCTTTGACAGGGTAACTAGCTTGATGGATGAAAGAAATTCAGTGGACATAATATGCTTAAACTTTAGTAAGTCTTTTATACAGTCCCACATTGCATTCTTATATGTAAAGTAGAGAATTGCGGGCTAGGTATAATTACTGTTAAAATAGCTTTATTGGAAGAAGCAGCACGCTACTTCGACCAAGCTCCGCAGCATCTGTACAGATTGGGCACTTCAGCGAGGCTTTTTCACGCTTTTATCTAATAGCTGATTCAATCAGCTGGTTCAATCAGCTATTAGATAAAAATGCCAACGAAGCCCCACTTAAGTGCCCAATCTGTACAGATGCTGCGAAGCTTGGTCAAAGTACCACGCTGCTTCTTCCATACATTAAAATCACCTTTGCTCCATGTTAGATGCTGGGCGAGCCAGGTTCAACTAACATGCTGCCTTTCCTGGGCTTGGCGCAGATTTGTTACAGAATTTAACATAAAGTGCTGTTTTGGGGTTTTTAAAATATCTACAAGCATCCTGTGGGCATTTGTACACGTGTGTGCTCCACAGCATCGGGTGCTTTTAAAAGCACTGGGCGCTGCGGCGCATACATTTGTATAAACAGCAAAATGCTCATTAGCACTGAGAAAATGGCAGCAGTGAACTTTTGAACTAAAACGCATCAGTGGTGTTTTAGTTCAAAACCACACCACCACCATTCTCTGCGCATTAACGTGCATTTCACTGTTATACAAATCTACGTGATACAGCACCAGGTGCATCAGCTTGTGTGCTCCACAGACTTGAAGAATTAAGTCTTCTTCAACATGCTGGATTTGTGGCACATCGGAGCAAACAAAAGTACATATATAAATGCCCTATGTGACCAACTTAGTTGGGTGAGTGATATTCAGAGATCCTGGTTTTCCCTAATAAAAAAATCACAAATTCTCTGATAAAAAGCCTGAAATCCATTATTAAAATGAAAGGCCCCTCACTGACCCCCACAGCCCTGCTGGTACCCCTCACTCCCCCCCACAGCTCCCTGGCCCTGCTCATGTTCCTCACTCCCACCCCACCACAGCCCTCTGGCCCTGCTGGTGCTCTTCACTCTCCGCTACAGTCCCCACCAGCCCTGCTCATGCCTGTCACCTGCAACCCACAACCCCTGCCACCCCCAGCCCTACTGGAGGGTTCTCCCAGCTGCCAGGGCTATAAGGCCAGGGACCTAGGTCCAGAGCCCCCTGTCCCCAGCAGGAGGTAGTGGCTGCTGCAGCAGAGTGGAGTCCAGCTCCCCCTTGCTGCTTGCCTGCTGCTGGCTTGGGCAGGGTGGGCCCGGCTCCCCACCGCTGTATGCACTCCCAGGGGCCCCAGATCTGTGTGCACAGCAGCAGTGAGGGGCACAACCCCATACCACTGCCTCTTCTGGTGCCACACCTGCTGGGGATGCATCACCAGGGCAGCACAGAGCTCACAGTGGCAAGGAGATCCCCACATGGCCCCACTGTACTCTGCAGCACCATGTTGCACCCACTGGGCTGTATAGGCCTTGGAGAAAGCAGTAGGGTGGCAGCCTGAGCCCACAGTGGGCAGTATGCACCCACCTTGTGCACAGATCTGGGTGGTATGGGTCCCCCCTGCCTCGTAGGAGTGTATGCAGTAGCAGGGAGCTGGTGCCTCCCCCCGTCCCTAGGACGAGCTGCCCACAACCCCTTTCTGTTCCTTGCTGGAGCACTGCAGCCACACATTGCAGCCCCAAGCTCCATGCATCACACTGCTGGGCAGCAACCCCAGTCCCAGCCCTGCCCAACTCCCTCCCTACCGGGGCCTCTATTCCCCCCCACACACACACACTTACCTGTGGGAGCTGCTTTCTAGGCTGCCTGGTGGCCATGTGCATATATATGCATATGGCACCCCCTGCCTAACCACCTGCCTCCTGCTCACTCCCAGCCCCTTGCAGGCTGGAACTCAAAACTGCAAAACCCATGGGGTTCTCTGGTAAAATGAAAAATCCATGTTTGCCTCCGGTAAAAGGTGAAATCTGTGGTTGTTTCCGTTTTCCCAGAAAACCCAGATCCCTGGTGATATTTTGGGTCACCTGAGAAAAGAAAAGAAAAAAGAAAATTTGTGAAATGATCATCAGGAAAAAAGGCTACAAATACATTCTTATAGCAGTAAATGGCCATTGTCTAGGATAGTCAAACCTTTACCATAGTCAAACATTAACAAAGATTAGGTAGAGCAATCAAAGCCATTACTACACCGCAAGTGCAGAAGAGTGGCACTGAGAAGGGTCACTGGGAATGGAAGGGCAAAGACTGACAGAGGTGTGTCTTCACACAAGAACAAAACCAGATAATCTCTAGAGACATACTTACCAAGCTCCACATGGTCACAGGGGGTATATTGTGAAAGATGAAGCTATCACCAACACCAACCACCCTGCAGCCACACATTGCATCCCCAAGAGATATTGATATCTCTGGCTGAATAGGTGCCTGAATAGAACCCAGGGCAATCATCAGCATCAAGCTAGCAGCTAATATCAGTGAAGACATGCATACCAAGAGCACAATGTTCCTTGGTGTCAAATGTAAAAAAGCTTGTTCTTCCTCCTTTTCACTTCTGGAACATACATTCTTTACCATCCTTGAACAGAGAATCTTGTCCTTTGTAGTCATGAGTCATGACTGATAGCAGAGAAAGGGCTTCTGGCTCTTTTTGCAGGGCTCAGCTGAAGTCTAAACAGGAAAGATGTACTGGCTGAAATCTGACATCCCACTGATACTTGATTTGGGCACACAAACATGAGCTTTAATTACCCTTTTCATTAGTTTCCTTTGTTAGCTGCAGTGAAGAGGAAGCCACCATAAGGGAAAGTAAAAACTGTTAAAATACTATGGGCAGTTGTTAGTCAAATAATTTTGATATGCAAAATTGATAAATAATCATTGGATTTCTGCTGTAATACATAAAGAAGAGTTCTGAATACTTTAAAGTACAGCAAAAAATACAAAATTCCCCAAGCAACTAACATGTTTAGGTGTTTTTTTTCAGTCCTATATACAATCTTTTATGCAACATGAAGCAGAAGAACCTGAGCTTCCTAACATACATTAAAATCATCTTTGTTCCTCGCATCTCCCATCCTAGGTTCAGTAAAT